CTGGTATTAATGTGGAGGAGATGATCAGTTCACGTGCGCCTCGCGCTGCCGCGTCTATTGATCTTAGGCGCGACAGCGATCTGTCACTCCACATTAAACAGCGCCAAAATTGCATTTATTGTTTGAATACTGCAATACAATGGACATAAATTGAAACCCGAGACTTTGTTTCATATTAAAAGCACCAAAGCACAATGCTTATTGCGATTTATTGGATGGGAAGTGCCCTTCAATGTTCCGTCCATTAACTGAAAACAGGCTAGACTAATCGATTCTTGGGATTTAAGAATCGATATCGTTCCGTAAAAAAGAGAATCGATTTATATCGAGATATCGATATTTTTTACCCAGCCCTATAAAGGAGTGTACATAAAGACAATGAGAAAACACAATCAGTGTCCTTCATAGTGTGGCAGGCAAAGACATACTGTGCTAGTTACTGTACATACTATGGATATCACATGTAAAGGCATGATTGTAACCCACCACCACTTCAGCATTCAGTCTCCACAAAATCCCATGTACGTGGATTCAATAGCTGACTGTAATACAGCACACATGCATGTCTACTGCTTATAATCTAATGTGCTCAAATAGTGAGTCAGCCTTGATTACCATGCTAACATTGAGATCCATCCTGTGGCTTCTTATGGCTTAAGATCTCTCTCTGTAGGCTTGATTCACAGTGAACGGCAATATACGGTTTAACCGAACAGACCCGCGCACAGTATTGCTGCTTATGAATCAACCGATGACTCAGTGTGCGAGTTCAAAGTGGATGCGAGATACAACTGTGTGAAATTAGAGGAAACGATGGGAGTAAACCTCTCTGCCACTGTCATTTCACACACATCAGGAAGACAAAGCTCTGTCCTCCATCTACAGTCTCTTTACCGTGTGCTGTCGTAAACTCACAAGTGTCTTCATAAACTATGTAGTAAATCTGGCTTCGCCTATCTCTCTTTCTGTTTACTTTTCCATCTTTAGCTTGCTGTGTCTCAGTCAATTTCAGCTTCAGGGGCTTTATTGGCATGACGAACAACAGTGCATTTGTATTGCCAAAGCAGTAGCTGCTTAGCTGCAGTCCATAGTTATAGTGTGCCAAATCAATAATGATAAAATATGACAATGAAAATAACAAGGAAGGGCTATAATACAGGTAAATATTAGGTTAAATGAGAGACGGCGATAAGTAGACGCAGTGCATTGCTCACTGGCCCCCAGACTCACTGGCAAAATCATTCTTGCTTTGTAATTATGCCACACTTGCAGCACTATAGAACCATGCATGGGAAATGTTCTCGTTAATCACTCATTTGCATCTGCCGTCACATGAAGGAGGCGGTTGTGCGTAATGTGACCCGTAGGGCCTTGACTCATTAAATATGACAGCCCGAATCATCTACGCACTCACTCTGATTGGTCTGGCAGTGGGCTGACTTTAATAAGCATGATTGGACCGGTGGGTGATATTAGTGTTTGTGACAAATCAATGCAAACCATCTTGAACTGTCTATATAATAGAGGGTTAATGGGTATGTTTGCTTGTGTGTGTATTTGTTAAGGAACCGTATTCGACAGTACCCAGCCCTTGTGAACTGCACAACGATAGACTGGTTCTCTGAATGGCCACGTGACGCTCTATTGGAAGTGGCTGAAAGATTTTTGGATGGACTCTCTTTAGGGAGCGAGGATGAGGTGAGACACATCAAAAGAAATATGATCCATTGATTGATTTCCAAATGCTGTCAATGTATTACACACAAATACACAAAGGTATATTATGGGTTAAATAAGTTAAACTCAACCCTATTAAATGATTTTTGACATGTATATCAGTTTGATAAACAATTAAAAAATAAAGAAATAAAAAACAGATGTACTTAGAATAAAAGTCTAAGGTTAAGTGTACAACAGTTGCCCCCCCCAGACTTCCATTGAAAGTACATTACTTTACACCCGTAGTGGTGTGAATGTAGTTTTTTTATGCAAATTTTTCAGTTAGCAAGGCCATTGTTGAAATGTGCAAATCATTGTCAGACTACATTATTTTAGTTTTCCACAAAACACTGAGCGGTTTTCAACACGGACTTAACTTGTAAATGATTGCTATCGGGATGTGATGAGACTTTCAACCAGCATAACAAAAAATGTTTCTGAAGACAATCACCTATTGCACCTTTAATAATCTTACTGACCCAAACTTTTGAACGATATTGTAAAACTTAAATTTGATGCTTAGAATATTCCTTTTATACACTCTACAAGTCCAATAAAATCAGTGACAATCACCCCTGGGCTTTAATTTGGAGTCTTTTTGAGCAGGGCTTGAAAACGGAAAAAAAAAATCAATCTGTTCACTCCGAGCAGAATCCATATTTTAACGTTTCTGTTCCTGTGTTCCTCTGTATTACTACCATTCCGAAACCGGTTCGAGAAGAAAAAATACCGGTTAATAACTTCATTTTTTTTAAACAATTTTCTTTGCCTATAATAGGCTAATAATAATAATAATAATAATAATAATAATAAAGTACAACGTTTTCTTTACTCAAAAAGAAAAAGAAAAAAAAATCTGGAATCTTAACCCGCTGTCACATCCAAGACAGCATCATCTTTTCTAGATTTTGGCCAAATGTAGGCTACTAAACAAAAGAAAAAATCTATTAACACTTTATTAAAGACATTAAAGTATTTTTTAAGATTAAAAATGTTTGCTGCATTGTTTAAAAAAAAAACGCTACTTGATTAAGATTGCGTTTTGAGAGTAAAAAAAAACATAACCTAAGTCGCGTAGGCTAGGCTCGTGTTGCATTTTATTATTCCATTCAGAAATAATGTAGGCTAAAATGCCGGTAAAGCAAAATGTTTACAAACATTATAAACACAGTTATTAGTTTCTCTCCACAGCAAATCCTCTAAAGTTAAGGCTATGCGTTTAGGCTATAAAAATGTCAATCCAAAAACAGTTTATTAATTAATTTTCAATTCATTAATTTCAAATTCATTAATTTAAGGTGAAACTGATGCCTACCTCTCTCATTCGGCACAAATCCAAATGTTTACATATTCGCGACATATCTGGATGCAAAAATATTATTTATTATAGGCTAGGTTTTGTACTTCACTCGCATCAACGTAAAACCATCATCCTTCACATTGGCTATATCAGCACAGTGAGGCGGTGGTCACGCTGAACGCAACATATTGTACAACGGAGCAGTGTAACTTTTTATACGTTTCTTTAATTTATTTACGTTTCTGTATTTTATTTTGATAATGAACAGGCTGCAATGTCGCAAAAATATGTTGTGTCTGTGTGTGTGTGAGGTGCTGGCGCGATATGGTCATACAAGCAAGACGTCATTCAAAACTTTTGCAAAATAAACTGTAAAATAAATAAAACTGTAAAGCTTTTGTAAAATAAAGAAAACTACTTTCTGCCGTCTAGTTTTCCTTTCCAAAAACTTTGGATCGCGTCAATGAACCAAAACTCAGCACATTTTTTTCTTTCGTTTTGTTAATCTGTCAATGATTAAGTGAAATATATTTAGTGTATATGCCTATATGTTCCTTTTTATGCAAGCCTATCATTTTATTCTGTTTTCTCCATTCACAGAAGCGCTGCAGGTGCATGTGATCTGTTGAATCCATCTTACACTATCCTTGGATAAACTAACGCCAGTGCATTGCCATTGCAACCTACTTATGATGAGTTCACAGCTGAGCGTGTGCATTTCACTCGTTGGATGCGTCAGCATCACATTTGCAGACCATACTACTTGAATTCCTGATTGGTTGGCAGCTAATTTCAAATATTAAATGGAACGATAAAATAACGTTATTAACCGGTTAATGGCCATTTCAAATTTTCGATTCTGTTCGGAACTATAAAATTTGATTTAGTTTCTGTTTCTGGTTCTGTTCCTGTCAAAATTTCGTTCGTTTCCGGTTTTCGCTTTTGTTCCTTGAACCGGTTCAGAGCCCTGTTTTTGAGGTACTTCATCTCTTAGTAGCTGTTATTGAATCATAGTTTAATTGAATTTCAAGTGTCGAGATTCATCAGGAGTCTTTGACTCTCTCATCCTTCATCTCTTTGTGGATTTTTTGTTTCCTTTGAGAGAGATGTCATACAAACCGTGTTTCTTTTTGCTCAGTTTTTGAACTGCAAATCACTTTGACTTGAGGTTCTCCATTGAGACTCTGTTGTTTAGAGGGAGTTCAAGCCTAGTTTTGTTTTAGTCTGTTTTAGGATTAGTTTGGGTTTATCATACAGTACTTCTGTTGTGACCTTGTGCAAGGTTTGTTTAAAACGGAGGCTTCCACATCTTGTCATTTCTCTGGTGTCTTCACAGATCCAGACTAATGTTGCCAGTATCTTTGTGACCATGCACCAGTCTGTGGCCCAGTTCTCTCACAGGATGAAAGTAGAAGTAAAGAGACACAATTACGTCACACCTACCAACTACCTGGAGCTGGTTTCTGGATACAAGAAGTAGGAATCAAACACACTTTTATCTTTTCTGTTGTTCGTTCGTTTTTTTTTAATTTTTTTAGCTGCCATCAAGATTTAAAAGACGTGGTAGTTTCCTGTTTCCATTTTACTGTTGTCTGTTAATGGTAACTCTAAATAAAACAGAGTATTCTGAAACTCTCTCTTTTTTGTCAGGTTGCTGTATGAGAAGCGTGGCGAGCTCGGAGAGCAAGTGTCTAAGTTGAGGAATGGCTTGTTTAAAATCGACGACACACGCAGTAAGGTGGAGGCCATGTCTGTAGAGTTGGAAGAGGCCAAGAAGAAAGTGGCTGAGTTCCAGAAACAGTGTGAGGAATATCTGGTTGTCATTGTGCAGCAGAAGAGAGAGGCAGATGAACAGCAGAAGGTGCGTGTGTCGGTCTGTCTAATGTTGAGGCCCTTTATTAGGGCTGAAAGGTATGACCAAACTCTTATATTATGGTATGAATAATTACAACTTAAAGGGTTAGTTCACCCAAAAATGAAAATTAGCTTGTGTTTTACTCACCCTCGAGGCATCCTAGGTGTATATGACTTTCTTCTTTCAGACGAATCCAGTCAGAGTTATAT